AGTAAAATATACTTGTAAAAAATTAAATTAATCGGATATCGTTAACCCTTTCATCCATTCATATTTATATTCACTTTAATACTTTAAATCACAATGTCATTTATTTTTGAAGATACAAATATGAGTAGATAAAAAGATTAACAATATCCGATTAATTTAATTTTTTACAAGTATATTTTACTCAATTTATTTTAAAATGTGAACGATTCGAATTATCAAAACAAATCCCGTAATAAGCCTATAAAACTACACAACAATGCTTGCTGTGCATTCAGCACAACAGGCACCCCAATTCCAATATATGCTATAGCCTTACCCTTTTCTTTGAATCCGACTTCTTTGAATCTCCATTCATCAAAATTGTTACTTATTTTTCATTGAACTCCTACGGTAGTTTAAAAAATATCCCTTTCTTTGGATCTCCACACTTGGCAACTCTCACCTCTACCTCCAGGAACTCCCTTCTCCAAGTGGCGATCTTCTGCTTGCAACCGTGGCCCTACCCACCCCTCTCCCATTGGTGATCCCCTCCTCATTACTACCAGCAGCATGCACCCAGTGAGACTTTTAGTTATACCTAACGAAAACTTGATGATGCACGGGGGCTGTGACGCTGCTGCTGACACTTTTTGGGGGTATGTGTTGGGCGGGCCTGGACAGCAGGCCAGGAGGCCCCTGCATTTTGCTTCTTGGTAGTGGACTTGGAATTAGGCTTGGACTGGGCTTGGACTTGGGAAGGAAGCAACCAGAAGGTGGTAGATACAACTTAGAAGAAGAGAGAAATACGACTACTACTACTTTCTAGTAAACACTATTTCTCTTTTATAACATCAAATTAGCCTTTGGTCTCTTCCTTGTATTACTTTGTGGCATTGCTCGTTTGTTTGTTTGATTGACTGATCGATCTTGGGGTGTGGGTCTTGTGATTTCTGGTGATTGATTGATTCATCTGTGGGAGTGTAATTTTGTGGTGTGTGGAAGGAAAGAATGGGGAGCTCAGGAGGAGGAGGAGGAGGAGGATTGACGTGGAAGCTGGCAGATCATCCGAAGCTGCCAAAGGGTAAGACCGTAGCGGTGGTAGTGTTGGATGGCTGGGGCGAAGCCTCTCCCAATCCCTACAACTGCATTCATGTCGCCGACACTCCCACCATGGATTCCCTCAAGAATAAGGTCTCTCTTCTTCTACTTCTTCTTCTGCTTCTTCATGTTTCTGGTTTCGTGCTACCCCTCTTCTTTTTTCACCATGCTTTGGCACTAAATGCACCGCGTCTCAGAGATTAGGTTACTCTTTCTCTGACCAACTTGAGACTAGCTTCCTCAACAGTTCGATTCATATTGAAAAATCAGCTTGCGCACACAAAATTGCTTACTCTGCTTCTCAGAGTAGCACAGTAGTAGTATTTGCAGTTTCTCATGCCATGTTTTTCTTGTGGATGAAATTCATTCATGTGAATGGTGCAGTTCATGTATAGGAATGGACTGGATGCCACATTTATTGTTGTCACTATGCATTTCATCCTATTATCGAAATCTCTGCTTTCCATATGAATAACCAATACCCAACTGTGGAAAACAATTTTGTTCACCTAACCCCCTCCTAATTGGATCTTTTAAAGCAGTGGACTCCAGTAAAATAACCCATCAATAGGATTCGAGGAGGATTATTATATGTTCAGGACTCCCTAACTCTACGAGTACTAGTAAGTAGTTGCAATGGACTGAAGAAAACTTTCCATTGAACACATGCTCTGCGTATTAGCCATTCCAAGTTATTTATTATTGGTATCCGTTAATGTTTTTCCTCCCATCAGTTGCTTTTTAACTTCTTTTTGTCACAAATCTCATCTGGCCACGTTAAGTAAGTGGTTTCTTCATTTTCATTATTAGACGCATTGTAGAAGATATTTACTGATTGGGATTGGGAGCCTCACATCACATTCTCTTTCCTATCCTATCCTAACAAATGATCCTTTCACATTCATTTTCTGTCTTACTTTATAGGGTGTCCCTGACAGGTGGAGGTTGGTCAGGGCTCATGGTACTGCAGTAGGCCTTCCATCTGATGATGACATGGGCAACAGTGAAGTTGGTCATAATGCTCTTGGTGCTGGACGAATTTTTGCTCAGGGGTGATGTCCTGTCCTTTTTCCAATTTTTATTTTTATATGGCCTTTTTCCGTGTGTAAATTTTCAGACATCATTTAGAATAATAATCTGTAGATTTGTCAAAAGTTTTAATGTTATGAATCTTATGATTAGTGCACTGCTTTAACCTACAAAAAGTTCATACTCATTGATAATCATTTGCAACTGTTGCCTGAGGCGGCATAGGAATTTCTTGTTTTAAGTTTATGTAGTGGACCATACTTGATAGTGTTCTTTCCTTTCAATGAGTAAGGGTGTTAAAATATTTGGTGGAACTGGTCAACTATTTCAGATCGGTCCAAACCAAAACCGTACAGTGAGGATGGTTAGGTTCCAATTCTAAGTATTTGATGTTTCTTTACACGTTTAATCAAGTTGGTTTGGATAATATTATGAATTTTTTAAGCACATTCATAAATTTTTTTGAATGTTTTCATAGGTAGAATCAAAGTTTTAAAAGGCTTTACTGATACTCACATCAAGACAGGCCTCAAGGAGAGGCTAAAGAGAAAACACATCGAGAGCTCATCGTAGTTTGAGACGTGTGTGCCTTGTACATTTTTTATACATAAGCATATGAGGATTACGCATATGGATAGCTTGTCTTGAGTTATTCTTAAAAGTTAATTCTAAGACATGGTTTAAATATAAAAAAAATTAGAACCTCTTTTGTAACAATATTCCATGGACAAAATCTACTAAATGACTAGGAAAAAGCAAAAAGCTCAGGTTCAAGTGAGAAGTTCGATGACTGAAGCTTAGAATGTCGATTTCACATTTGATGAGAACAAACAAGCTTCCTTCACTTCAAGGGATAGATCGGGGGTGCTTGGACAAACCTTGAACTCTATCCTCTAATCCTGCAATCCACAAGTGCTTTTATGGTCCTGAGCATGGTACCTAGGCCCTGCTCCCATACCAAATAATCATAGGTGGAGTGGTCATCCTTCAAGATGGAGACTTGGCTCAGTGGAGCTGTTGGCAAGCCAAGGGGCCGAGCACAGTCCAAGTGCTTGACTTTCTGATTGGTCCACATGTCCATTAGCTAGAGGTGACACATATAAGGCTTCTGGGAGAATCCATAATGAAGATGACGTGGCACAGTAGGGGGTGCCACGTATCAAGAGTAAGCCCATATACCAACACCTACTTCTGATTTGGATGGTCTTTTCCAACCTATGGACCTGTTTAGTGAATCTAAAAGCAGAAGCTAAAAATATTCCTCCCTAGCTTCCACATAATCAAATTATTTTATTATTATTTTTTTTTTGTATAAAATTTTTGGCTTATTTAAGTTATTTGCCTCATAAGTTACAAGCAGAAGTTGTACCAAACATTCTAGCTTAGATTCCTAAATTAAAAAGCCTTATAATCTGCTCCAACAAGTTGCACCAAATAGGGCCTATCCATTTTGATTTTGTACCAGGTGAATTAAAATATGATACGAGTGGGAGAAAGCTGTTTGCTTTTGGAATTTGGTCCAAACTATATGTAGTAGATTGTTCTATATCTATATTTTCTTTTTCTTCCCAATGTGTGATTTGTACTGTCAATACAATATGATTTTACTAGTCAATATAATAAGTGTGATTGTGCTGTATACAAAGTGAGTCACTAACTATGGGTTTTTTTATTTTTTTCAGAGCAAAGCTTGTTGACCTTGCTCTTGCCTCTGGAAAAATTTACGAAGGAGAAGGTTTTAAGTACATAAAGGAATGTTTTGAAAATGGTACATTGCACCTCATTGGATTATTAAGTGATGGGGGTGTCCACTCCCGGCTTGATCAATTGCAGGTATGCTTTGTTGTCAAAGACTCATTTTGAGATTTTTTTCCTGAGTTGATCTTCTCTTAGTGTGATTACTTACTATTGTTATTATTAATTTTTGGGGTGCAGTTATTGCTCAAAGGTGCAAGTGAGCATGGCGCTAAGAGAATCCGTGTTCATATACTTACTGATGGCCGTGATGTCTTGGATGGTACAAGTGTGGAGTTTGTAGAAACCCTTGAGAATGATCTCTCAAAATTACGTGAGAAAGGTGTTGATGCCAAGATTGCATCCGGGGGAGGTCGCATGTATGTTACAATGGATCGTTATGAGGTAAATTTTTTATGACTCTATAGTTCAGTGTTTGATATTTCGTCTAGCAATGTATTTGATAGACCTTCTAGACTATCTTTTGGCAAATGCATAGGACTGGAACGAATTGCAATTGCTCTAATAGTGGAGGTTTGCAATAATTGTGTTTGACGTGCATTATCTGAATGTAATTTTTGTTAGTAGTTTATACCTGCAGTGTTGATGTGGGCATTGTTTTGCCTTTTTTTATCTCTAGGGCAAGGTAGTCTGCCCTTGAGTGTCTCCCTCTTGAAATCTAATTTGGTCTCTGCAACAAACGATGTTGACATTTCTGCATCTTCCAAATCTCTGTACCGCTCTCTATAGTTAAATGGAAATACACTGTCATTTTCATATTTTAGCACAATGGTTTACAGTGCAATGGATTTGTGATGCACTGATTTTGAATGGGTAGCAACACCGAGGGAGGCGCTACCTTGCTTCAGAAAAAGAGAGCAGATATGCAATACAATCATTCAGTGGTGTCCACGCAGCTGAGTTTGCTGTATCACAAACATGTCTAACCTTCCCCCAGTTGTAATCAATGAAGCCTGATTGTGTATATCCTGTGAAGCTACTGTTTCATTAACTCAATTATCTAAGGATATGAATTAACTCCTGTGGCTGGATGCTTCCCAGAATGATTGGGGTGTTGTGAAACGTGGATGGGATGCCCAAGTTCTTGGTGAAGCCCCATACAAGTTTAGGAATGCTCTTGAGGCTGTTAAGAAACTGAGGGAGGAAGCCAATGCTAATGACCAGTACTTGCCTCCTTTCGTGATTGTTGATGAGAATGGGCTGGCTGTGGGCCCAATTCTAGACGGTGATGCTGTTGTGACATTCAACTTTCGTGCAGATCGCATGGTTATGCCTGCTAAAGCATTTGAATATGAAGACTTCGATAAATTTGATCGAGTTCGGTTCCCTAAAATCCATTATGCTGGAATGCTTCAGTATGATGGTGAGTTGAAGCTTCCTAGCCACTACCTTGTTTCTCCACCAGAGATAGAAAGGACATCGGGTGAATATTTGGTGCACAATGGTGTCCAAACTTTTGCTTGCACGTTAGTTGGCACCAATTGATTATCTGATTTTATTGTAGCACTATCAATGTATGTCATTATTTCTTGGAGAGAACCATTCATGTGCTTCATAATTCACATAAACGAATCTTCATTATTCACAAATTTTATATGCGTGACTCAATGCTATCTTAAGCTGCTTATGCATTGTCGAACCCTTCTACATGGTAGACTGGATGGTAAACCCTATAATCAGTTGAATGAATTATTAGGATTCCATTATCTTCAATGAACTTGATGAAAATTTCAACTTATGTTCAGAAAATAACATACTAAACCCTCATTCAATCCATATTTATGGTTGATAATTTTTGCATGCAGAAAGCTTCTGTGATTAGTACCCAGTATATGGAAAGAGACATCCATCATTATTAATAAGGGTGAGTGAAATGAGGTTATATGAATGGATTGGAGATCACTAAAGTGTTTATCCTCTGAGAATGTCTAATCTCTCAAGTCATCTTTAAATGAATTAGATGTTATGTCATATTATTTGCTGGGTTCATGCATTGTTGCAAAAATTCACTAATGAACTTATTTTCAATTAATTCTGTCTTTTCTCCCTTTTCTTTTCTTAAAGAAATGTCTTATCTATTTTCTTCTTAACAGTGAGACTGTTAAATTTGGTCATGTTACTTTCTTCTGGAATGGAAATCGGTCAGGGTATTTTAATGAAGAAATGGAAGAATATGTGGAAATCCCAAGTGACTCTGGAATCCCATTCAATGTCCAACCAAAGATGAAGGCTTTAGAGATTGCTGAGAAGGCCAGGGATGCTATACTTGGCGGAAAATTCCACCAGGTAACTTAAGGCTTCTCTCTGTCTTATCTCAGGTATAAAAAAAAAAATAAAAAATAAAAAAAAAGTTCAGGTTGTATATTTTGTCATTGCGCTTTTTCACTTTTTTTTTAGGTGCGCGTTAACCTACCAAATGGTGACATGGTGGGCCATACAGGTGACATTGAGGCCACAATTGTGGCTTGCAAGGCGGCTGATGATGCTGTGAAGGTATGATGGGTTTGTATTTCTATGTATTCTGCCCTAATATTTTTGAATAGCCTGTTCCACATCGCTTTGTAGTCTGAATTATTTCAATTGGCATTAAGTTTTGTGCTTCTAGGCATTGGACGTAGTGTGGCTGCAATAATGTTAAATTGTACAATATGAGTATTTTTTTTAATTATAAGAGTTGATTGATTCTCCAATTGCATTCCCTGAAATTGATTAGTTATCTTGTAAAATGATCAATTGATTTTGGAAATCTGTTAAGCAGCAAAATGATAATTAAGCTTCATGAAACCTTATCAGTTATCACAAAAAACATGTGGACTGTGTTCAGGTCTATCTTCAGTGGTGCCTTCCTTGAATTTCTCTCTTTATATGTTGGACTCTGACCAATTCTGCTGATTGTACTGATCTTTATCCAAACCCCAACTGCAGATGATTCTTGATGCAATAGAGCAGGTGGGTGGGATATATGTTGTCAGTGCTGATCATGGTAATGCTGAGGACATGGTGAAGAAGAACAAGAAAGGGGAGCCTCTTCTTGACAAGAATGGCAATGTTCAAATACTTACATCTCACACTCTTCAACCGGTAAGCATTATGTACTCTTCATGTTTTTTGGCAAACCACAGAGAAATAAAAGACAAGGGGAAATCTCAGAACACCTGCTTTGATAGCTGGAAGTGGATAAATTATATTGTTGGGCAATCACCTTCCAGTTGTGGTTGTCTACAATTGGCAAATCGTGAACTACTGCTTGGGTTACTATTGGGCAGCTCCTTTTCAGGTTTAGTCATTTTGATTGAGAATAACTTGGCAGCGCTTGGTTTGCTAGATAATGCTTGTCACACTGCAAGTCATAAACGTTTCAAGATCATGTGGCTAGTAATTAGGCCCACAATTAACATCATTAGATCAGATTGTGTGAATCTTGTCTTGGGTTTTGTTTCACAGCAATTTTATGGTTTTGCCTCTTTGCATGTGAGCTATGCAGCACAATATTGTTCTGTGTATTTTGCTTGATATAATTTGAGTTCCGTTTGTGCTATTAAATTGGTTTAATCAAGCTCCAAAGTTGCTAATAAATTGCCTGGGTAATCTTATTTAGGTGCCTATAGCAATTGGAGGTCCTGGATTGCTGCCTGGAGTGAGATTCCGCAAGGATGTTCCTGATGGTGGGCTTGCAAATGTGGCTGCAACTGTGATGAATCTCCATGGGTTTGAGGCTGCTAGTGACTATGAGCCAACTCTCATTGAGGTTTCTGATAACTAGTTCAAGTGCAACAAATTAAAATTTTGACTTGTACATGGTTACAATGTGCACTGGAAATATATTTCCTTGTTAGTGTCGAAAAAAATTACAAGTCAAGAGTATTTTCAGCAGCCTAGTACAATTTCAGTTTGGGCACTGTCGTGCTGCAGTTGACACAATAATATTAGGGCAACTGTTCTTCTGTTTTTTTTGATAGCCTTCTCCCAAGTTTGGACAACAACTATGATCACCATGGTCCTGTATTTGGTTGTTTTGAAGGACAATCTCATTGGAGAATTTCAATCTCTCTATGATTCTCTCTTTCCTCTCTGTTCTCCCCGCCAATTCCTATTTGCAAACAAAGATTTGTACAACTATAATCCTTAATGTGAAAGGTTTCAGATAATCTTTTTAACATTAAATTCATCATGATAGCACTCAAATTTAATATTGAAATCAATATTTTAAACCCTTAGTCTCAACTTTGAGCTATGCTTTAAATGATTAGTGCCTAAATCTTTTTACTTAAAATATATAAATCCAAACACAATTTACATTTCAGTGCGTAGGAATCATCAAATAAAATTGAAAACATTGTGCATAAGATGAGTACATATGTAAATCCTGCAGGTTGCCCAGAGCTCTGATACTTTTTATCGCCTTCATTACATGTCAAACAAGCATATCCCCAAATATATCCCAAATATACATATACAGAAGGCAAATTTGAGTGAACACTTCAAGTGGTCTAATGATACAATACATCAAAAAGTTAGATAGGGGAAGCCTAATGAAATGATCATTATCATCTGGAAACACAATTCCATAGCATCATGTACAAAAGTCGCATGATCTTCAGTTAGACCACACATGAACCAAACCATGCCGATTACCAGTATAGATCTCATTTCGTTCTTCATCATAGAAAAGGGCTGTTATGTCTTCTAATGCCTCCGCAACTGTGTTTCTCATATGATAAGAGTGATGTTGCTTCTTTGAGCTGCTGTCAATACTGTAGTACTCATCAACTTTAGGACTGCCATTGCCCGCATTTATTTTAGCCAAGCATTTCCCAGTCAAGATATTGCTGATATTGATAGACCCAGCTACACCAAATAAGAAACAGTGAGAAAGAACCCAATGTACTGTAATAGATTCCCCTTCCTGATTTCAAACTATGGCAACAAACTTCAGATCACAAACGTAATCATTACCCTATTTCTGCTGACGAATGTGCCTCAGGGAAACATATGTTTCAACATAATAATAGCATACAATCATTCTTTAAAAGTATGGTCACTCTCATAACATATCTCAGATGAACGTTCTAGAGGTTTCAAATGGAAAAACTAAGAACATGAATTTCTCAACAAAAATAAAATAAAATAATGACGTTTGGTCCTCCAGCCCTTTTTTTCAGGCTGAAACACCACCAATGTGTTCATGCTCTAAAAATTTAATATGAACGTGCCTATATGACAATCTGAGAAGTTCATATGATTTTTTAGATATTCCTTAAAATGTGCTTAAATAATCTGAAAGACTTTCAATCCAACATACAATGGGGGAGGGTTTGGGCATGGAAAGGGGATCTGGACCATTCCCAGCTCTAACCACAAGGTGTCATGGTCTTCTGGCTGCCATTCGTTAATAACAAGATAAGTACACAGAATTTACCATTTCTCTCCATCCAATGATCATCGGAATCAGCCTTGCAGTAAGAAATAATAAGATCCTGATCACTCGTTATATAAATGTTGTTAGTATTGCAGTCTGGATGCCACAATAGGTGATCCTCAAATGAAGTAACAAGCTCTCCGCGGAAGTTCCAAACAGCAACAGTTCGATTTCTAAATGTCAGGAACAGTTGGTTCTCATAAAGAAAGATAAAAGCTGATGGAGTCTTGAACTCAGTTCTGCTAACTTCTTTAAGTTCAGCATTGCGCACCTACAAAGACAAACGGGCAGTCACAAACACAGGCATACAGACTGTTACAGCTGTCAACAAGATGTAGAAAATGAAAAATCTGATCGTACATCAAGAATCTGGAGATTCTCATTATCTTGCTTGACTAGAAGCTTTTCATTGAATTGTTCTATGAAGTCCACCTTCTTATTGCGATGAAGTAAATGATTGAAGTCTTTAAGAACAGTGCCATCTTCTATTGATAGTATCTTCAAAGGAACATGGCTTTGAACTCTATTGAATATCAATAACATAATGCCTGGACTGTTTCAAATCAAGGAAATGTGACAGGTTAATGCATGAAAGCTTCTTCTTCATTTCTTCTTCTTTCTTCCTTTTCCTTTTCTTTTTATTTTTAACGAGGGCACAAGGAAACCGAAATGTGGAAAATTATACAATTTGGATCAGTTAGATAAGTACATGTGTAGCTTTCTCTGAGAACAAATAGAGCAACAACATCAAAAGCATAACAAAAATAAAAGCAAATGACCACATACAGGTGACCTCATGCTGAACATTGCACAGTACTGTGTTTAACAGCTTAAATCAAGCAACTATAAGCTCAATCAAATGCTGGAGGGGCTAATAACTACCCCTTCATATTAATTAATTTTATCCCCATGTGGCCTAGAGTGAAAGCATAAAGGGTGACAAAAAAAAATTTCTTTCCCGCAAAATGTTTAAATTAGCCCCATAATTTTTTTATAATTCTCCAAATGGATTACAGGCAAAACACAAATGATAGGCAAGACTGTTTTGCTGGCCCTATTTAAATCTGCTCTAACTCTATATCTTTCATCTTATTAAACCTAGAACCAACGATCAACCAGACCTAACACTCCATCTCTCTCCCCCTTCACAGACATATGTTTGTACATCTATTTATATGCATATATGTATGCTGTTAGGGAGTTTGATATGCAATGTTGCTTTCCTAACAGCTTAAGCTTTTGGGAATAGTGTTGATCAAACATACATGTATAGCAATCATTTTTCACACATATATCAAGCATCTGTTGTTTAGAGAGAGAGAGAGAGAGAGAGAGAGAGATTGATTACTTAACCAACTACAAGTCATAGATACTATATTGGGTGCAGCCACAGGATCCCTGCATTGATTGGAAGCCCGAAAGAAACCTCTCAAAAAAAATTTGGACCTTAGCTGATCTCTAGTGTCACATTCTGACAAATCTTGATGCTATCCCTCACAAGAAAGCCCTGGGAGGTTATGGAGAATGCTAGAAGCTTCTAGAACTCCCTAGAGTTTTGTAGAGACTTGTACATAGTTGTAGATATTTGTAGACCCTTCTAGATATATACATTCTAGAATGATTCTAGAATAGTCTATAAAATAGAGTTGGAGGAAGTGTTTAAAACACTCTCCATCATTATAGTTCTAGAATATTCTTTGTAACCTATAAAAGGGAAAGGGCCTCATTTGCCCAAACCATCCAAAAGTAATCCAAAGCATTCCAAAGCAATACAAAGCAAACATTCTCCAAGAGCTGTGTGCAATCTTCTCCTAGCTCTCTTCCAAGAAGGCACTTGCACTATCTCTTCATGGGAAGAATTTAAGAATGAACTAATGAGGCAATTCTATCCTGAAAATGTGGCACATGAAGCCCGATTGAAAATGAGGGAGTTGAAGCACACCCGCTCTATCCAAGACTATGTCCAAGAATTCTTCGGGTTAATGCTTCAAATTCTTAATATGAGTGATGATGACTTGCTTTTCAACTTCGTCTTAAGCAGTGGGCACAGTTAGAGCTACAACGAAGGGGTGTCAAAGACATTTCCACTACACTCACCGTGGCCGAGACACTGGTGGAATATACAAAGCCAGAATCTTCTAATTCGAAGTCCACCAAGGATGGTCAAGGCAAAGGTGGGGTAGCAAAGTGGGCCAAAGAGTCTAAAGATTCTAAGACTCCAAGACTCCAAGAAACAGAGAAGTTGGAAGAAAGATGCCAAGAAAGACATCAAGCCTAGGGACAACTACATTTGTGATGGGCCACATTGGGCGCGGGATTGTCCTAAGAGGAAGAGCCTTAGTGCAATGCTTGAGAAACAAGAAATGGAAGAGCAAGCACACATGGGGTGTCTAAAACTGCTCAATGCACTCGAGGCAAATCCAGTCCCAACAAACAACAAAGATCGGTCCTTGATATATGTAAATGCCAATATCAACGGCAAGGCTACTCAAGTGATGGTGGATACGGGAGCATCACACAACTTCATCAAGAATGCCATAGCCAAGTGGTTGGGGTTGAAGTTTGACAAGGGTCAAGGCTGGCTCAAGACGGTGAATGCGGAAGCCAAACCACTTGATGGCGTGGCTCAAGGGGTAGAGCTACACTTAGGGACTTGGCAAGGGAAGGTGGACTTCTCCGTAGCACCGCTTGATGCATGGAGTTTCTGCAACAGTTCAACGTGGTGCCCCTCCCATGCTATAACTCTGTGCATTCTCGAGGGTGGTCCATGCATGGTCTCCACAATGGCCAAGGCAAGTTCGGACAAGAAGGTACTTTCTGCAATGCAAGTCAAGAAAGGCTTCAACGAGGGAGAGATCACCTATCTGGTTACCCTCCAAGGCGAAAGAGGAAAAAAGGAAGACACTCCAACGGAGCCACCAAAGGAGAATGCCAAGGTGCTAGTGGAGTACAAAGACATCATGCCACCTGAGTTGCCTAAGAGACTTCCACCTTGGAGGGAGGCGGACCACAAGATCGAGTTGGAACCAGGCGCCAAACCACCCACAATGGCACCTTATCAGATGTCTCCGCCGGAGCTAGAGGAGCTAAGGAGACAACTAAAAGACTTGCTGGATGCAAGCTTCATCCAACCATCAAAGGCACCATATGGAGCACTGGTGTTGTTTCAGAAGAAGCATGATGGATCATTGCGGCTATGCATCAACTACCGGGCTCTCAACAAGATAACCATAAAAAACAAATATCCTACTCCGATTGCCAATCTATTCGACCAACTTGGGCATGCAAAGTTCTTTTCTAAGCTTGATCTAAGGTCGAGGTACTATCAAGTGCAGATTGCGGAAGTTGATGAGCCAAAGACTGCTTGTGTAACTCGCTATAGCCCTTACGAATTCTTAGTAATGCCCTTTGACCTCACCAATGCACCCGCCACCTTTGCACATTGATGAACAAGATCTTCCACCCCCTACTTAGACCGGTTGTAGTGGTCTATTTAAATGACATAGTCATCTATAGCACCACTCTTGAGGAGCATGTTGAGCACTTACGGATTGTCTTCAAGACACTAGGGAAAATGAGTTGTATGTTAAAAAGGAAAAATGCTCATTTGCAAAGGACGAAGTTCCCTTCCTTGGCCATGTAATCAAGGGAGGCAAGCTTCGCTTGGAGGAAGGAAAAGTAAAGGCAATCAAGGAGTGGGAACCACCCACCAAGGTGACAGAGCTGCGGTCTTTTCTTGGGCAAGTCGAAGAGGGCACCATTGGGCATCACGGCAACTTATGACAAAGAGGTAGCCTGTCTTAGCAGACCAAGTGGTTCGACGACAAAACTATGCCCCACGTCATAAATACTTCGTGAAATGGAAAGGATTGCCTAATTGTGAGGCTAGTTGGGAACCAGCAGAAGCTTTGTAGCAAAGGAGTAGGTGAAGTGGAGGTGGTAGTGGTGTAGTGGGTTTAGTGGAGTAGGTGAGGTGGTAGTGGTGTAGTGGGTTAGGTTTAGTGGAGTAGGTTTAAGTGGGTGAAGTAGGTGATAGTGGTAGGTTTTGGTACATTTTTAACATAAATACTTCGTGAAATGGAAAGGATTGCCTAATTGTGAGACTAGTTGGGAACCAGCAGAAGCTTTGTAGCAATTCGAGAAAAAGATAAGACGGTTCCATGAAGAAGACGTGACGAGGGCGTCGCCGCATTAGGTGGGGAAGAATATCATAGACTGACAAATCTTGATGCTGTCCCTCACTAAAAAGCCCTGGGAGGTTGTAGAGAATGCTGGAAGCTTCTAGAACTCCCTAGAGTTTTGTAGAGACTTATACATAGTTGTAGATATTTGTAGACCCTTCTAGATATGTACATTCTAGAATGATTCTAGAATAGTCTATAAGATAAAGTTGGAGGAAGTGTCCAGAACACTCTCCATCTGTGTTACATGGGCTCGGCACTTTAGGGCGAAGTACTCGTGTTGACACAACATGACATGACACGGGTGTGGGTGTGGAATCTGTGTCAGATTCGCCTGTTCTCCCTCGGACACGGCTCTTTACAGATAGCAAAAGAAATGAAAGAGGAGAGAGCAAGAGAGAACCTGGTCGAAGCTACATCAGTCGAACACCCCAGACAACTTCAAAAAGCCTCTCTCTCTCTCTCTCTTGCCCTCTCTCTCTCCCTCACAATCGCAATCGCTATCGCGATCGATCGCTTCGCTTTTCTCTCCCTCTCTCTCCGTCGTTAACTTGATTCATATCTATCCGTACCTATCTATATAATAATAATAATAATAATAGTTAATAACTATAATAGTTTATTAATTATTTAAAAAATATAATAAATAAATAAAATAATTAATGTGTATTAAAATAAAAATATTTATAAAAAAATTAAAAAATTTGCCGTGTTCCCTGCCGTGTTCGTGTCCCCATTTTTTAGAAATTGTCGTGTCCCGTATCCGTATCCGTGTCCGTATCGGTGTCCGTGCTTCATATATTTTTATTTATTATTTATATAATACAACTAATCTTTATATAATAAATATATATTTTCTTTAAAAAAACTATTTAACGTATCCTCGTACCCGTATCCAAATTTGGATACATATCCACGTATTCTTAATTTTTAATTTTGAAGTGTCCGACCCCTAGATACGCACCCGCACCCGCACCCGCACCCGCACCCGAGTCCGTGTAACATAACTCTCCATCATTGTAGTTCTAGAATATTCTTTGTAGCCTATAAAAAGGGGAGGGCCTCATTTGCCCAAACCATTCAAAAGTAATCCAAAACATTCCAAAACAATACAAAACAAGCATTCTCCAAGAGCTTCTCTCTAACTTTCTCTAAGCTTTCTCTTGTGTGCGCAATCTTCTCCTAACTCTCTTCCAAGAAGGCTTACTTAGGTGCAAGCAAGGCGTGGTTGGCTTGGAAAAACCAAGACCGTGACACTAGGAAGGTTCCCTAGGCTTAAAAACGACCAAAATTTTTAATTGTGTAAAATGTCAAAAATGTGACGTGATAACCTTCGAGAAGGGAAAATGGTCATTGATACAATTTAAAACAATAAGATAAGAACATTTCATTTCACTACCAAGAGGAAAATTGTCGAAAGCTAAAAAAATAGTAAGGATTTGGCAACCAAACTACATTAGTTTAAAATTTGATTCTCTCTCTCTCTCTCTCTCTCTATATATATATATATACAAGTGAGTTTGTCGGGTTTCATTTTAAATTGTTTGCTGCTGGAAGGAGAAATCTTCATTGAACAACATTGTCCGCTGTACTCCTCTCCATTTTTCTATAATAATTCTTATGGTTCTGCTCTTTCCTACCATGACATATGCAAGCTACTTAAATTTGGCAGCAATGAGATCTTATGAATGCAAGGAAAGCTCAAATATCACACATATTATTTGCTCCTTGAGATTGTAGATCAATGGACTGCTAGTCATGGATTTAAGGTATACTGAAAAATTTCTCACAATGTTAAAGGAACAAAAGATTTTGTGATGATATGCTATCTTCCCAATCTTGTTCAGTTTTCCCAAACTAGTGGTTGAGTTTTCTCCTAAAAAGGCAACTAATGCAACCTATTTAACCCCCGACTTACATAAGTATAGCAATCTTTTAGTCTAGCAAGAAGTAATAGTAAGAATTATCTAGTAATTCTGTATCTTTATTACATTGACCTCCCCTGAGTTTCCCCTAACAAACCACAGTCACACACACAAACCATATGCATGCTAGACTTCTAAGAGAGAGAGAGAATACCTGACTTCCCAATCTTGTTCAGTTTTCCCAAACTAGTGGTTGAGTTTTCTCCTAAAAAGGCAACTAATGCAACCTATTTAACCCCCGACTTACATAAGTATAGCAATCTTTTAGTCTAGCAAGAAGTAATAGTAAGAATTATCTAGTAATTCTGTATCTTTATTTCATTGACCTCCCCTGAGTTTCCCCTAACAAACCACAGTCACACACACAAACCATATGCATGCTAGACTTCTAAACTATGTGATCACAAAAACAAAGCAAATTCCACTTACTTCAGAAAAGAGAAATAAATTCTACAATAAATATTTTGTTATGATGAAGAAATATTGTTGTGTGTACTTTGGACAAAATAATTCTTTTGAAGATATGCTTTGGTGTTTTTCCAAATGTGCAGCCTCAATACTATGCAAACAATGAACAAGACGCCTGTGTCTCAGAGAGAGAGAGAGAGAGAGAGAGAATACCTGATCTTGATTTCTTGTACATGTTTATCTGATATAGAGTACAACATTGTATAGTTTTTTAGGTCAAACACCTTGTATATACTGACAGAAGCAACAAATATAATGTAAGATTCAACAATAAAATACTCTGCAGTCGAGTAATAATTGAAATATTATGAGTGGCAGAATAGATACCTATCTTGAGCCGAGTAAGTAAGAACTTTTCCATTAACATCATCAAATTCCACAAAACCGGGCCATTTCAAAGACTCGGATTCAAAAAGAGGAAACCCAGCATCTGGTTTCCCCCTCTGTATATACCTAAAGAATTAAATGGGAATAACATCAGTAAGAAAACAATAAGATAATGCAAACATATGGAATTAAAAAGAAGAAAAAGCAAGGCCAATAGAGAAAAGTTCAACACACTCAATCCTCGTGGATCTGCATTTCAATGAGCTGAAGTTATCTGAGGCATAAACTGAAACTGTGATAAGTGAATCATTATTCTTATTGTAAAACAAGCTTCGAATGACTTCATCAGGACTAACATTCAAGAAACATATCCTCTTATTTGTCTCTGCATTTAGAATGTCAGCAAAGATCACATTAAAGAGCAGTTGCAGTCTTCACAAACTGAACTTTAAACATGACAGAAAATCCTTTGAAATGTATAGGCGTGCTACTACCTCTACTAAAAGCGGCACAAACACCAGAATGTGCAAGAGCAAAGACGGTGTCATGTGCTGCGACTATCTCAATAACTTTTGTCCTCTTCATCAAGAAAGGCAGTACCAGTGAACAATGGCCCTTAGGATCATGAGTGTCATATTCCTCCTAATGCAAATATAAATAGACAAATAAGTACAAAGAAACATACAACCTTCAAAATATTAAGCATAATTTAAGTATGTAAAAAGATCAATAAAGCTACACTTACCACATTCTGTCCACTACATGATATGACACACTTACAATGGTTGGATATTAATGAGATTCATGTGGAACTTAATGTATTAATGGTTGTGAATGTACCACATTAGATGGTAAAAAGTTGTGGTTATCCTATAATTAAATATTGGTAGAATATTAAGATAAGGACGGCCTCAATACTTGTCCATTTTGATGCTAATAACATGATAAAAGGGAAGTGCTCATGGAAAGTAATGATTTCACTCCTCAATGCCATGACATGATAAAAAGAAACTTGTGATAAATGCTGATTTCATTTTCAATGCTATGTAAAATAACAACATATCCAATAACTTTTTGCACCATATAAGCCTCAAACAACACATTTTGTCCCAATATCATAGTACTCTCAAGCCAACAGAAAAAAACATTTAGAAGGGAATGATCGGGTACGTGACTAGTTATCTATTTTTGGTTAACATCTTCCCCAAAGAGGCATAAGACTAACTCTATACTTCATATAGAAGGGCGTTATCAAGTCAAAGCAAAGACGACCGTCTTAGCCTTGGGGGAGAAAAGACTATCATGCAAGAATTTCCCATCCACCTTGACTAACATCACCTTGCGTCTGTTGGCAAGACTTAGGGAGCTTGTTGAACTTAGTATACGATCACAGTGTGGCCTCCAAGTTGCGTTATGGTCCTAACTAGGACATGGGAATCACATGACTTGGTGGCTATGTGTAAGGGATCAACCAAGTGAAGACGATATTTCTACCTCGGCCTGATCAAGGTACGAATATTGAAATATGCCTCTACCTTGATTTATCAGCTTAGAGATTGAATCTTATCGAGTGATCCCTTGGACACATGGGATCTCAATATTGGCTACTTAGCCTCCAAGTGGTTAATTTCCACAACCCTTGGAGGCTAAGTATTGATCGTCAGCACTTTTGATTGTGGTACATCTAATATTGGTACATCCACATTAGATAACCACAACCCTTGGAGGCTAAGTAGCCAATATTCACTCCAACCCTTGATCGTCAGCACTTTTCATCTCTCCGGTTCACTCCAACCCTTCTACAAGTGGTTAATTTAATCAAAAGAAATTACGTAATGGTAGTTAAAAACTTGTTTTACTAAGCATCTTCCACAATAAATGTCATGTCTTTATTGATCATGAAAACCAATATTCTATATAAATTGAACGTAATGTGTTCCCATCACTTAAATCAAAAATAAATCGAAACTTACACATGATGAGCTATGGTTGTTAACTGTTAAAAAAGCCATCCTTAACATACAATTTTTTTTCCCATTAAAGATATGCATATGTTGAAGCTACATGATATAGAATTTCATATTGAATTATTCACATTGGAAATAAGTTGCAAAGACTTTAAGCAAATCTTTATGTTTGATTGCATTAATTTATGAAAGAGTATGGAAATGTTGCTGGTTGAAGAATCAAAAACAAATTATAATCTTTAACTGCAAACTATCAGCATCACAATGGTTTCCATTCATCAAATGGTGGTATAAGTTCAGCAATGAACCTTGGTTCCGGTTCAGTTGTTTTCTGGGAAAAACAATAAGTGTGCTTGGTTTGAGTTTTCTGGATTAAGTTTTTTGAAAATTGAGTTTTTTGGTTTTCGTATTCTTTTGTTTTTAGTGAATATTTTTTAAATTTTGAACATTTTTTTTACTTTTTTAGATGTACCTTAGTTAGATGTATCTAAAAAGTAAAAAAATTGTAAAAAAATATTTTAAAAAATTAATAAATACATAGAAATACAAAAAATGTACTAAATTTTTATATTTTTTTTTGTATTTTTGGTATTTAAGGTGTTGTTTTCAGTATCCTAAAGTACAATCTTAGCAAAACACACACACACACACACACACACAAACAAACAATATATAAACTAAAAAATAAACATTGAAGTTGGTGAGCAGTGCAAGAAAATATTTCGATTCCACAAGGGTAAGTTACAATCCATCCAAAAGAGGGGAAGGGAGTGGGAAAATGAAACAAACCGTCAAGTGCATGTTGCGGAACCTCTCCTGAGCATTGGTCATGGAAAAGGAACGGTCGCGCTTAGAAGAAATCTCTCTCCTTTGCAGCTTCTTCACACTGTTTACAAAGTCAGCTCGGGGACGTTTATTCGCCAACACCCGCCTCCTCATACCACTGCATGGCCCCCGTGGGCTTGCAGATATCCGCCTTCCCCCTTCCATATCTCTCTCTCTCTAAAACTCACCCCACCCCACCAAGATAAATTAAACTCTCAAACAAATTTTCCCATTCCAAATCAAATCATCTTTCATTTGCACTAAATTCTATTTCAATTCAAAAACAAGTGGAGAGAACCATGATTCAGATATCGAAATCTCAAGCTTCAAGAATAATAATAATAAGAATAATAATAATAATAATAATAATAATAATAACAATAATCTCAAGCTTCCAGAAAAGAATGAAGGGATAAAAAGTGGAAACAAAATTAAAAGAAATACTAATCGGAGGGAGATATCAAGAGATCAGCACTAAGAAACTGTCCTAAAGAGTAGTAGCAAGTAACATCACTCACTATTATTACCCCCATCAAAGCCAAAAGCCAACTCCCCAAAACAAAACCCCCTTTTTCCCTCAAACTCGACCAAACCCTAATATCTGTTACATTAATAAAAACTAAGGATAGATACAAATTAATTAATTAAACAAATGACTGAAATAAAACAGAATAATCACTGTTTTTCGAATATATAATATGAGATGTAAATTCTGGGGAAGAGAAAAATTTATGTTAGAAGAACAAGTGTCGGGGAAGAGACTACACTAGTTAGAGGAATGAGGGAAAGGAGTTGAGTTGAGTTGAGTTGAGTTGAGTTGGGGTTTTACGTAGTTAATTCCACAGGTTAGTAGAGATAGATAACGAGCTATAGATAGAGATGAGTTTTGTACCTCCGACTTTTTTTCAAGAATCCCGATTGTCGTTTGTCGGGTTAAAATTCAAAACTCCAATCTACCTCGTATCTCATCTCATCGCATCTCATCGTCTTATAAACAAAACAAAACAAAACAAAAATGGACTACAAGTACAAATAAATAAATATATAAATACTTTTAAATTATAAATACATTCCTTTAAATTTGTTTAAAATACAAATTACTCTTTTAGAGTTTGAAAAATTATAAATATTTTTTTATCAGAAATTTTTTATTTAACAAAATTAATTGAAAAAATAAAATTTCTAACTGTTCACTTATACAATAATAAAATTATCTGAATTATTAATTAAAATAAAATTTTAACATTATTAAAAATTATTAATTCTGTTCACTTATACAATAATAAAATTATCTGAATTATTAATTAAAATAAAATTTTAAAATTATTAAAAATTGTTAATTAACTTGATAATCTATTAATAAAATGACCTATTTGTTATGAAATTAAAAACTTTATGGAGCATAATGTAATTTCTAGAATTACAATGAATAATTTATAATTTAAGTAAATCTCAAATAGTGTATTTGTAATTTATTCAAAATAAAAAATCACATATGTATTAATTTTGGGACATACACTTCTCCAAAAAATAAATAAATAACATGGTTAAAATTTTGATTTATTGTGATCGTCAATGATATTGTATCATAACTCTTAGTTCAATACCTCTAGAATAAAATAGATATTTTGATCTTATATTAGCTCATTTACAATATGCGTTTTCCCGGAGGATTTCACTACAAAAGTATCCATATTTTTTTTTTCCTCAACCAAAAAAAAAAAATCAGTTATGAAATAAAAAAAAAAAAAATTCAACTTGCTTTGAACTCTTTAAAATTTCATTTGAGATCAATTTATTTATAAAACAAATTAAGCATTATTAATACATTTTAAAACTCATCAGCTTCGTTTAGAGATGGATAAACCACATTATTACATATTTCAACTGGATCCAACCAATATAAATGTTTAAATCTTATTGGTATTGCGTTCATTTTCTTCAAGTTGGCAAATCACTGCAACAATGGATGTGTGTAATTGGCATATAAACTTGTTTCTTAACCTTTATATTTACAGTTTTTATTTATATTTATAAAAAATAAATAAATAAATAAACAAAATTGAAGTATGCAAAAGATAAACTTCTTTTTGGTTTCTATTTTACAAAAATTATTAAATTCTTGTAACTACAAAACAATTTCACTTGTTTAGAAAAATAGTTTTCATTTTCTCCTCTTCTCCCATGCCTCCTGCCACCACATAGCTCATTAGCACCATTGGTACACACATCCAGCCACTCCCACCTCCAGCCGTCACGTCACCGATGACCTCTTCAAGCCACCACCCTTTGCCAACACATCAGACCTCTCCCATCTCTAGCCACCATCACCAATAACTTCATCTGCGAACCAACAACCACCTTTGACCATCACCTCTTGCTAGAAACCATCTCTCTCTGACTACCGACAACCACTTCCAGCCATCACTTCCCTCCTGCCACCACATAGCTCATTAGCACCATTGGTACACACATCCAGCCACTCCCACCTCCAGCCGTCACGTCACCGATGACCTCTTCAAGCCACCACCCTTTGCCAACACATCAGACCTCCCCCATCTCTAGCCACCATCACCAATAACTTCATCTGCGAACCAACAACCACCTTTGACCATCACCTCTTGCTAGAAACCATCTCTCTCCGACTACAGACAACCACTTCCAGCCATCACTTCCTGAGGCCAACAACTACCATCGACACCACCGCCAACCACCTCTCACCAACAAAAACCACATCTAGTGACTAACAACCACCTCAAGCAACCATCTCCAACCAGTTTCGGCCACCATCTCCTATTCAAAATAAGTTTTTAAAAGGCATGTACCAAACATGTTTTTTTGTTTTCGCTTTTATCAAAGATAAACATTAACTATAATGTTACCAAATGGCAACTTAATTAGATTACATTTACCAGTTCAGCAACAGATCCCATGGTTGCAACCCCACCTCTTTTCAAGGGAGGGAAAGACCAGTCACACTCATGCCATCCTCTCAATCCAGTGGCCAATTTCCTCAGCGTCTCGTGCTTCACTTCCCGAATCCACACTGGAGCAAAACTCACTACCAAACCAACTAAACAAGAGACGTAAGCTTTCCACGTGGTCAGATCACATCCCAGCGATATGTTCCCATCCAACACCCCTGCAACGAAGTCCATGTGGACCCCAACCACACGCAACCTCTTGGAGAATGCCCATGACGGAGGTTTGTCGCCAACACCCCATATGCAAGCCCCTGACATAACCAACAAGTATGCCATGGAATATCCCTCCAGTATCCGGGAGACAGCATTCGCCCCATCACCATGTTTTGTGTCCCTTGCAGAGAGTAACCACATCGGGATAGTCTCCTGATGTAATTCCTGCACCAGCTGAAGCCCACCTGCAACACACAAGAGGCTTGCACCGAGTGTGGCCACCTCCTTTGCCCTGTCAATGGCAACAGCTAGAGATGCTCGGCTAGACTTCAAGGGGTTGGAATCCGTGCTCGCCCATCTCGCAGCTAATTCCTGGGCAGAATTGGCAACAAGCTCCACTATAACATGATTCACATGTTGGACATGGTGTATTGTACGACAAGATCGGAGGAAAAGAAATCCAGGTGCTACGCGAGTGCAAAGGCCTGGAGCTGAGATAAAACTGCCCAAGAGACCATTCACTCCATTTGGATTAGTCAATGGAGAGGCTGATAGATGGAGTGATCCAAGAAATGAGGTGAAGCAACTCCTCAAAAGTTGAGCTACAGCTTCCTGGTTTTGCCTGAATACAGAGCGAGAACAAGATACAACAATGAAGTCATGCCAGCGGCGGACTTTCTGGGACCAAAGAGAGCTAATTATTGGCATGCTAGGCCAAGGGCACCCTGAGGCACAGTTCTCCAAGGCAGGTCCAGCAACAGCATGGATATACTCTAAACTCTTATCAAGTTTAAAAGTAATTGTTAAGCTGACAAGAGCTGCCATTGGTAGTGGAAGCATTGCTGGTGAAACCCCTGCAGAATCGAATCAAAGGCCTTAGTAATCTCAGTACAACGTTTATTTCAGATTTAACTACTAAGTGAAAGCATCTCTCTCTCTCTCTCTCTCTCTCATACCAAAGAACAGACATCAGTGGCACAAATTGTTTGCAAGCTTTATAAAGACTTAATAGAACAGCAGAGGACTTGGAAGGGTGTCATAATAGCCATCGTTGAGTTATACTGTTTCTCTTGATGGAATGATAAATCCATCAATACAGACTAAGAAATGAATTGAGAATTTAAACCAAATAAAGAAATATGGGTGACAATAGAAAGAAATATAGAATACCAACTGAAATTTTTTGTTAAAAGCCAGAGGCAGTACCAGTGAAGGACAAAAGTGTCATCTTGAATGGTGTCATCCAAGCAAAAAACACAAGGACAAAGTAGTGTTGTCTGTTATTAAGGGTCCGTCACAATAGTTGTGTTTTTGGATGATTACAATACTTTTGCTTGCTGAACTTTACCAGGAACATGGATCATTATGTTATGCAACATGTGGACAAGAACACAATACGCCTCAGAGTCTAATATGTGGTACAAATGTACAGTATGAGTCTGCATATCTAAAATGTGAAGAGAGAATTCTGTTGGAATATGTCCCACATCGCTTGGAGTTGCTCCATTTGTGTTAGTTATAAGGTTCTAGTTTCCTTCTCTTTAACACCTGAGTTTTAAGGAGAAGTGTGGACTGGACTTTTCAATTAATTCTAATTGCAAAAGTGGTTTTCACTGGATCAATTACACCAACAATGAAGGTTAGCATCATTAGAATGTGCATGTCGCTAAAACATCCCTTTTATGTTGATATCTCAAAGTTTTAATCATTCTCCCCTTCCCCCTATTCTCTAAAGCTATGTTTGGATCATGATTTGGGTAGGGATTTGGAAACAGAAAGGAAACGGTGAGGGAAATGTGAATAAAATATGAACTATTTTTTTTTCATTTCCTTACTTTTCTTTCTTTTTCCAAATCCCTACTTAAATCCATGATTTAAACACAGCCTAAGAAAGTTTCTTTGTAATTCTTGATTTTGTAACTTCTACAGAGAAACTAAGTAAAACCACTTCTTCAAGTCACTATCTACCTATTGAAACAAAAGACTCTGCATTCTAGGGTACACATTCAAAAATGCGTCCCACTAGGATATTACTATTCTTTCGTATGGAAGGGTTTTCCTACAAGAACAAATAAAACACACTAAGGCAGATAGAATGCCTAAATCTGGCATTAATTAGTGGATGTGGGTGCAGATAACAAGAGTCAGAGCATTGCAATGAGGAATTGACCAATAAACTGTGGAATATTTTGCGTTATTTTTAATCATACAGTTTAAGACTTTGAAAGACAAATATACTGAATACAAAACACTCATTTAACCTACCAGACGAACAGCTCGGAAAATTAACACCAGCACCAGCAAGAATTTCCTTAATTTCAGACTCAATAGTTATGAGGTTTGCTGCCGGACTAGGCCAGTCCGTTCCGTTCATTGACACCGGTTTCCATATACCACGAGTAACTTCTGCAGAAAAGTAACTAATTATAGCTCCAAGAGAAGCAGGCAGAAAGTCGATAAGGTCCCTCAGGCCTGCAAGGCATTTATGGGTACATCAGAGGCATGCTAGTTGATGAAAATATATAAAACATACAAAAACTTCTATATAAATTTCATCTTCAAAATTTCTGTAATACCATCTGTTATACGGTTGATTATTAGGTAGACACAAGAAAAAGAAATAAAAATAAAAAACAAGGGCAAACTTCATTTAACCCCCTCGTGGTTTGGCCCATGTGCAGAATGCCCCCTTGTCATTTTGAAAATAATCACATAATCCCTGTGTGTTTTGTGCACTAAATTGCACACTAGCTTCCATTAATGGAACGTGTAAATTGACAATTATACCCTCATCTTTTTATGTTTCTGAATGTAAGTCATATGCATATATATATATATATATATATTCAACAATTCACACCTTTCCAAAACAACTGTTTTTTTTTTTTTTGTTTTGACGTCTCCCAATCTGAGAGTGTAGAGAAGCACAGGCAGCCTCCATTTCTGGCGAAACCCCAATCCCTCCTCTTCCCCTCAGGCAGTCCACCACTTCACCTCATCTCATCTCCGGAAACCTCCATTTCCGGCAGGCCCCACCTTCCTCTTTCCTTCCGGCAACCGCTTACTGCTCCACCCCTCCCTCCCTCTCTCTTCCTCTTTTTTTCTTTTTCTTCTCCAATAATTACACAATAACTACACCAATAGATATAGAAAAAGTAAAATCAAGAGAGAGAAAGAGAGTTCAAACCGTTGATTTTTGAGAAAATTGGAAGGTAACCATCAAAGAATTTAGACATAAACATAGAATTCATTCACCGTCACATATATGGTAACTACAGCTACAAATCTTGTTTAAAATAAAAAGAAAAACAATAAAATTGAGAGAGAGGATTAAAGGCAAGCAAAATAACTTTTGAGGATCAACTGGGTAATTGTTGAAAGAGGCTCTTTCAAGATTGAATTTGCTGTATTTTTCTTTGGGAAAGTTTTGAATGTTTCTGAATTTTAGGTGGAGGGAGGGAAGAGCTTTGCTGGGATATTTTGTATTTTTTGTCTGAAATTGGAAGGGTGGAGCAGGTGGCACCGGTGGAACTGAAAGGGAAGATGAGAGGTAGAGGAATGGCAGGTTTGTAATTTTAGAGACTTATTAGGGTGTTTTGGTCTGAAAAAAAAAAATATCATTCATACCAACTCTCAACAAATGTGTGTGAATTACACTTTTGGTTAGTTTTGACAAAAATTGTAACTATGCATTTAGTCCATAAACTACGTGAGAGTTATGTGGTTATTTTCAAATGATAGGGGGACAATCTGCACATGAGCCAAACCACAAGGAGGTAAAATGAAGTTTGCCCAAAAAACAACATGGAAAACAAATAAGCTATAAATAGCAGCCGTCATTGAACCTGTTGTCAGATCCCGTGATGAAAGCCTTCCATGAGCACAAGCTGTTAAAATTGCCTCAAGAACAAACGGGATGGCTTCCAATATCTCCCACGCAGGGAGTACAGGTCTCTGATAAGCATCTTCTGCTGTACTAGCTGAGGAACCACTAACACTGCTGCTGCTCGATAGCATGGAAGAGTCACTGGACATGGTCCCACTTTTAGTCATCTTCCAGAAAATCATATTCAAGATCTTATTAGCAACTTGATGGACTGGATTCCCACTACAGAGACCAGAAAGTGTGGAAGCTATACAGGATTTGTTTTGACAGTACCAAGCCCGTAATTTTGGATAAGAATCAATATATATGGGTTTATCCATTGTGGATCCATGCATGTTTGAACTGCTGTCCCTTTCCTCCTGGGAAACAGAATTATGTGATTGAATGCGGCTATTGCGCAACAACAAAAGATACTCCAGTGTAAGCTCACCCCCAATGGCCCCTCCTCGTCCCGTAATACACTGCTCAAGGGGAGGTCGGTAGAATTTCCACAGGCGAAGAAGAAAGAGAAATGCAGAAGAAAAGACCATGTAAATTGAAGATTCATCGCCAGTGCTTGACTTGGGACTTGATGTTGGTACAAGTGACCCAAAAGTCTCACAAAGTGGCATTAGAGAAACTGCAACTTCAGGCACCTGTAGGAACAATAACTTTGAATCTATAGGACTCCAATAGTAAATTGCAATTAAAATTTTGAATTCATCACAGGAAAGCTAAGATCGCAAGAAAGCTAAGAATGAGAAGGGAAACTGGATGTTGTAGAATGCAGTTTGTTCCAACATCATAGCCATACAAAGAGGAAAAAGAATCAAATGTTAAATGGTCTCACTTATACCAAAATATCAAAAAACGGCTGAGTCAACCAGTTAAACCCAATGTCAAAATTCATATATCATATGCCCATAAAGTCAAAAAACCTGCTTTCACCTAGAGTAAAATATTATGCTTCAGAACAATGCCCTTTAGCCTTATAACTTCACCAGTGTAACAGCTCTAATTAGGGGTGTGCAAAATCTGATTAACCCGATCAAACCGACCAAACCGCAAGTCATACGGACGGTTTCGAAGGTGATTTGGGTCTGCTGCGGTTTTGAAATCTCAACCCGTTTACATTTCAGTTTGGGTAATGGGTACAATGTCTGCAAAATCGAGGAACCCAACCCGACCGAATTTTATATAAATAAATCATCTGTCTACCTTTCCACGCGGCATGACCTTGTTAGCATAGTTAGTGATCCTTATCCTTCATCTACCGACACACAGTCACTCTCTCATTCATTCAATGCATTTGAGACTTTTCACCTATCTCTCTTCCTCATCTCCCAATATTCATTCAATGCTTTTGAGATTTTTCCTCTCTCTCTCTTTCTCTCTCTCTTCTGGTTTTTTTCCTCATCTCTTTCATTGGTTTTTTTCCCACTTTACAGACTTCTCTTTCCATCACTAGTCTCTTACAATGGTTGTCTCCCTTCATCAATCTCTCCTCTCTTGATTATCTCCATTAACTAACGTCATGGTGTCACCGATATTTTTGTCGAACTCATCACCGTCGGACACTCTTCATCATCAACGAACACAAGTAGAAGGTAGAGCATCAGATTTGTAACTATTTTGGTATTTTTTTTTTTTAAGATCTGTAACTATTGGGGTTGATTTCTTTCTAATCTATAAATATTTTGATAAGATCTCTTAGATTTGTAACTATTTTGACCTATATTAGATCTGTCTGTGTGGATTTTTTTATTATTTTTTTTGTGAAATCATCATCCACTCCTACTGATGTGTTCTTCACTGCACCCGACCGGCATCAACCGCCAAACCAAAGATTTATTTCAGTCGATTTTGAAGGAGTAGGTGGTCAAGAACGGATGTGAAGTTTTCCAACCCAAGAGATTTGGTTCGGTTGACGGGCCAATAGCAAACCCGAACCAAACCGACCCGTGCACACCCCTAGCTCTAATCATAAGATTAATATGGTTGGAAAGTCATTGAACAAGAAATTTCTGTAATTTTAATCTAGAATCTAATCAGTACAAATAACATTTATGTGAAATGAAACATAAATTTGATATTTCCAACATCTGGTATCCCTGCTATCACTCTGAAGACCTCTACTTTTTTTCTTTTTCTTTTTTTGTCCTTCCAAAGCCATAACTACTTTGGAAATAAAAAAATATTTTTTTCTTTCTTGTCCAACTACTTTGACATGATTACCCCCCCCCCCCCCCCCCAAAGAAAAAAATAAAAAATAATCTGCTTTGACATGAAAGAGAACTTGCACAATCTTTTACAGAACTTTTCTATTTGATTAGGTGTTTGCACCCATTTTTGTAAAATGTCTGTTGACAGGGTAAAAGCAAGCTACAAATGACACATGGCAGCAAGAGGGAGAAGTTGTGGTGAGGAAACTTGGTCAAAGTGTGGAAGATGGCGTTGGCATGGAAATGCAAAAGGAGTGGTTTGACAGAAGCAGTTATGGCCGGTTAAGAAGGAAGTGGCATGCAAGTTTAGAGGAAAAGGACATGATCTACAAAAAAACTTGAAGAAAGTAGGAGGTGGCTAGAAAAGAGGAAGACATTAAGCAAGGATCTGGAGCACTATAAAAGGGAATCGAGGGCAAGAGCACAAGGATACAGAACAACATCTCAACACCAGCATAGCATAGCATAGTATAGCTAGGGGTAGATTTTCCTTAGGAGTAGTTTTAGCCTTGTAATTCTCAGCATATGTTTGTAAAACTTTGGAAGTTTTACTCTTCAAAAAACTTTGGAAGTTTTAATAGAATTCTCCGTTGTTTACTTTTGTTCACTGTCATTGTCACAAAGAAGTCCTCGAATCCTTCAAGGCATTGAACCTCAACATAATTGCCTGATTTCCTTTGATTGTTTGGTAAATTTGTTGTTAAGCCTCTGTCAATTGGGCCTTAACAGAAATCTTACTAACATTAGGACTTTGTGTAAGAGAATACTCAACACAGCTCTGCTATTAGACAAGATCTATACTCTCAGAACAGCTGATTGACATTTCAAAAGCCTGATCAGACTTATAGGAAGACCAAGCCAAACGATCCTTTCTCATTGAAGCTCAAGAAATGCCCATGTTAGTCTCCAAGTCCTAGGAATTGTGCCCAGCTTGAGACCCATAATGACTTCAGACCCTCAAGATCACACTTAACCTCATTTTAGACAACTTTGACCTCCCAAAAAAATAAAGAAAATTATGCATTTTTTATTATTAGTGTTAATATTGAATTAGGCCTTCTTTTGCCTTCTTTTGTTGAGCATTGAAGGTTATAATGGCTTTAACCAGTTTTTGTATGTGGGTCACATCCCCTTTTGATGCTCTATTAATATATTTTACTTATCAAAACACTATTAATATTAGCCTTTTGATGTTTCATCTGCCTAGTTTGCCCACATAACTCATCACCATGATTTAAAAAGCCAACAGCGGCCAATTGTAATGAACAAGTTAAAATTGCATAATGCATAAAGCATTTAGTGCCGAAAAAAGAGAAAAAAAAAAAAACTAGGACTATCAGCAAGAGTGGAAAGGAAATGCACATCATACAAACTAAAAAATGAAGTGTAATTACTCCAGATATATACTCAACTTACCACACCATGCAAAGAAAGAATATGAACAGTATCAATAGAGGAAGCCCCAAAAAGGATTGCACTTAGCATGGACATATAATCAACCAGATGACTCCTTGACGCAGTAAAATTGGGAGGTACAGGAGGAGAAAGAAGCTTGACCACAAAGTGCACCACGTGTTCCTGCAAAAGAACAATTTTGAGGAAACAAGTTTTAAGTTTACAGGTTAGTTGAAAACTTTGAATCCTAAATTTTCAAACATATTCAAGATATTGCAGAATATAACAGCAGAGATTAAGACCAACAAGAAACACGATTTCGCCACAGCTCAGCCATTCTCACACCACACAAGGTAAGACGCTATAAAGAAGAGGTGAAGCCAATTGCTTATAGATTAAGTATAAGGATATTCAATTTGAACCATTTTACGAACATCTTTTTTCCAAAAATATAAACACATTTTAGTTACAGTATGTGGAGTGTGGTTCTCAAAATAATAAACCAGTACTTGCTTTTGTGCTCTCACGCTAGAGGCTTGTAGGCCTTTATACTATTTTTCATAGGACAATCAAGATGACTTTTAATTCATTGTTATGGTATTTGTGAGGTATACAGAAGTAGCATTTTATCTCAAGAACTTCTGCAAAGTGCAAGCACATTCCATCTCAAGAACCCTGCCCTTCTTGTTGTGAGCAATCAATCAAACTCAAAGAAACTGATTGAATATTATCTGTCACATAAAAAGGGATGCCATAATGCAGCTTCGGGGCAAAAGTGGACATAAGAGGGTTTAAGAAAAGTCCAAGACTCAAAGGTAAATATATTCAGTAGTTAAATAAGCTACCTGAATATTCCATCCACGACTGAGGGATGCACCACATAGAATCTTCGCAGCAGCTGATTTCTCCTCCTCCAATCCATTCAATGCAATATAATACAATTTCTCAACCTCTGGTAAACTTTAAGAGGAGAGAAGTGTACATTCAATTTAAACGACAGATTTTCCAATAAAAGAATGAAACTAAAAACTGCTTTCTAACTACCTTGAAGCAGGAGTCATCATGAGCGCATTTATTAGGGGACCGGTAAATGGAGCTCCTTCCATAAACATTGACCAAGGAGATTTCTGAAGAGGTGATTGATCTGAGAACGAGGTCACTGATGCAGGCACATAACCAGGCCAAAAGTATACTGAAGTGTCTATTAACTTTCTTGCAAGACAAGCTTCCACTATAAGGTGCCTCATGTCACCTCCTGCAAACAATGGATAATGAAAATCAAACAAAACACAGAAAACATTAGCACAAAAAGAGGTCAAGTGTAAACTAGAGAGATGGTTAAATATAATATTTGCATGTAGTATTGTTTCCAAGCGCAACAAGTTGTGAGAATAAGGATCAAACTCCACAAGTCATAATGATTACCTGCCTTTACAGAAGTATCACTATGACCACCTCCACTTATTCCATCCTTCACATTCTTAGAATTAAAGATGAAGCATGCTGCTTTAGAAGCTGCATTATTAGCTGCATTAACAACAGATGCAGGAGAGCATAAGAGGGAAGTATAGTGTCCAAGGACCTGAAGGGAGGAAATTAGTCCCTGTCTTCTTAAAGCATGATCATTGCCATCCATTCCACGTCCATAACCATTCTCCATACATCTAGATGCTACACCTCCTGGAACAGAAGAACACAATGAAGCATCATACTCCAGAACACGAGCAATTGCCAAGGGGGTGATAGACAAAAGGGCACAAAGGCGGGCCTCAAGATGTGGAACTGGGCCTTCCAGGGGTTCACGTTCCTGTAAAAAAAAATGGAGGAAAAAGTAAATATCGGATAGTTATTGGTTCCATGAGAAGAAATGCTTGTGTGGATTTATCTTAACTCGTTGCACGAGCCGAAGGGCTGAAAGCCAGAGTGCCAGGAATGTTTCTTGCCAGCTTGCCCTGTTAAATACTTTAAGTGTATTGATTGTTTCTGCACTTAGGTCATCATTATTAGAGAATTACTAAAAGTATTAAACATCTACAGTCAAAATTATGAAAGCTTAAGGTGGAAGAAGTTCCAGGAAAAAATTTTTACAGGATTCACCTGTAAGTATATCAATAGCAGATGTGACTGGAAATTGCTTCCCATCCATAGCATTCTCCATATAAATATCAAAAGGAACCCAACAAGCAAACCTACCAGATTCAGAATTACATAATCTGATATCAATAAGCACCCCAATGAGCTGTCGCTTGTTTAACTGGTATTCGTAACCCATTGCCCTCCGGATATTTGCAGTTAACTTTACCAAAAGCTGATTTGCAGACTTTAAATTTGGGGATGCTACCTTATGAGCTTCAAGAAACTGCATCCTCTGCAGGAGGCCACTGAATTTTTCAGGCCTATTCCCCCCAACCCCCAATCAGAAAGTAAAAAAATTAAAATAAGACAATAGTTGTAAGTCAGTTACTATATAAAATGAAATAAATAAATAATTAAGAATTAAGCCAATGACATTCCAATAGCCAACAAATAATATACCAAACCATGCACACCCATGCCACAATATGGCTAAGAGAACTTGACCTTATTATAGAAACTGATAAAACTTGGGGCCTTGATCAAGCATCTCCCATACACATTAAAAAGTCAATGCTCCAAACTTTTACTCCCCAAAAAAAATAATTCCAATTTGAAAAACATTCATTCAAGCATATATTCAGTATGCTTGTATACAAATCATAGATACATACTAAATTCTTTTCTGCACATGAGTCTATGATTCATTTTTAATCATCAAGTTTCAACAATCCAAATGAAAACAGAAACTATAGGTATAAATTTACATGCCTTTCTCACCTTTTAGCATCTCTTAATTAAGAAGACACATAATTGACCATTAGAGTCAAAGCTTACCCGTACTTGGAAGTTGGTGCATCCATGTCAAACACATGATGTTAGAATTCATGGCAAATGATTTTAATTCAGAAAACTCAACAGAAACATATCAAATGTGAGAGCAGGTCTGATGTGTTGACTTTTGTACATTTTGTGGGGGATTTGCTTAGATAGTGTGCTTTTGCAGTCCATTCTGGGTTGCTACTTTCCTTGTAATCTTTGCATCGTCTTGATGCTTTTTTAATAAAGTTTGTTTATTTATCCAAAAAAAAAATATGTGAGAGCAGGTCTGTTAGAATTAGTGAGTGAAGGATAAGAGGACCAGAACCCAATCCAATCATAAATCAGTAACAAAGTATCCCTCAATTCTCATCCAACCTACAGCATCTTCCCATTTTATTTGATCACTTAAAGTAAAAGCATTGAAGGAGTGTGAGCAAATGTTTTATGACAAGGCTTATCGTGATGCAGTAGAGATATCACATCCAGAGAGCTCTCGTATCAGTAATTGCCATAAAAATTCAAATTAAAATTTCTTAATATGTGGCTCTTAAATTTATAAAACTGGAGATTGTGTAAGGAAATTTTTATTCTGAACCCAGAAAAATTTGAATATTAAGGACTCAATACATAATGAAGATCATAATGAAACAAAGAGAAATTGTATTTGGGCTATACAAATTTACAAAACTAGAATTCTTAAGGAATGCCCTTATAATGAAGAGAAGCCAATAATTAATAAAACAATTGTTTTATATAATTAAAAACAAGCATAATCTCCCAGAAACACCAGATAGGGATCCCCATTTCCATTGAGGCATTGACTCATTTTAGCCAAAATCAAAAAGCAAAGGACTCAAATATCCAATAAATCAAATTACCACAAAAACAAATGCAACAGGATACACTAGATTTTGAATAATAGTATACAGACAAGGGCTATAATAATGCAAAACATGACATAACATAAAATGTCGCAAGAACCCCGAACCCGAAGAATACTGCCAAACTATGTCCTCCATATACCTTAAACATTTTTAAGAACATCAAATATAGTCTGATAACGGAAGATGACAAGAAGCAACATTTATCAACTGTAAGCAACATGAAAAGTAATGAAGTTAGCCAAAAGAAAAAGGAAAGAAAAGAAAAGAAAAATTGAGCTTTTCCAAGTAGTTGAAGTATTTAAGTCCAGTTGAGTGTGAAAGCTGTGTACGATCCAGTTCTAAAAAACTAAAAAGCAGAGGTTCATAGCAAAGTAATTCAAGGTCAACTATAAGCAGAAGTGAAGCACATACATATTTAAGTAAACAAGGCGGAGTAGAACCGTAGCCTTTTTGTTCTCTGTTAGTTTTCCCAACAACTCAAAGGCCACAAAAGAATTTGATCTCCTTATGCGTTCACGATGGTCATTTCTTTTATATATTTGACTTTCTTTAGAGTCCACATCCATGTTCTGGTTATCTTCACTTCTAATCTCTCCATTTGCTTTATCAACAGATGTCATTTGCAATCCCCAGTCATATGATGTGCTATCAATTAAGCCAACGATAATGCTGAAGAAGCACAACACCATAGCATGTCCAAGCTCCAGAACCTGAACTCTGTAAGTTTGGGAAAGCTGAAGGGCAACATCAACAGATTTTATTATCCTGCAAAATAGCAAAGGATGTGCATCACTGAACATGATTCTATAAACCATGCCTCCATTGCCAAAATATTTCAGCTGGAATTCGCACAAATGAAAAAAAAAAAAAAAAAAAAGAAGCTTGGACAGCCCAGATCAAGAGAAATCAGACTTGGAATGAACCCCCTTTCAGTTCGGTCAAAATGAAATGTAAATACTTTTCTAAGACCTGCTTGTGTGTTTCACATGCACACAAAGAAACAGAGTCTGTTTCACATAACTTCAAAGCTAATAATTAACAGGCTATGACCATTGCAAAGATTATTTTTGGAGGATAGGTAGGTCTTCATAAAAGCTAATTAGAAGAGGTTATTACCAAATGCTGATATCAACTTGAAGTGTTTTTTGTTTTTTTTTATTTTTGGGGTTTCGATTACTTAGCAAGCTGAAAGGTGCCGTGTGTGGAAGCCTACACACTTCTTCAACATTTTTCAAGGCCTCTCATTTTATCTTGTAAAAGGGTGCAAATTCCGCCTACCTTCTTGTGTACATCTCTCTTCATGTCACTATATGAGGACAATGGGTTCAAATTGAGCCCACCTCCTTGTCTACCTCACTTCAACTCTCTGTCTTGTGTGTCTTCATAAGTTGCAAAGTCCCTCCCCAACCACCAATTCTCTCTCTCTCTCTCTCTCCATCCAAATCAGATACACCGCCTTATTCAGTATTAGGTGTTACACGGCTTTGAATAGAACTTAACCCCAAAAGTTAGCTCAATAGGTGAGGGTGCCCTCACGCTTATATACTTAGTACTCGGGTGATGTGGGACTCCGCTTCACACCTTCCCTCATGCCCAGTATGCTCACTCGACAACACCTGTGGTGTGCAGGCCAAGGACACGCACCCTACCCATCCCTGAGTACTCTGGCTCTAATACCATAGCACACGGTCTTGGGTAAAACTCAACCCCAAAAGCTAGCTCTTAGGAACCGTCCCTCACATGTGACCCATTTTTCACATGGAGAGACAAACAGAGAACCAAACAGAAGTATAAGCAAACAACCAAACAAAGCTGAAGAAACCAAACGGGGAAAGAATACGAAATGCCAACGGAAAGACTTGAACCCAAGACCTCTCTCAATCCAAGCTCTGATACCATGTTAAGTCACCAATTCTCCCAAAAGCCTAAGCCATTAGGAAATGGGCCGAACAATGTATATCAAGCTATCTAAAAGTAGACACCTTACATCAATACAAATGCAAAGGATGCAGTCACTAAAATCATATCAACAAAATGATTTAGGATGGTCTTAAATCTTAATCTACTCAACATGGCCAATCAATGGCTGTTACTGCTTTGGCTCCATTGTTTATATGGTGAGTTCCTCAAAGCACTTGTGGAGTTAGCGCTTCAATAAAATACAAAGCATTCCAATATGTAAAAATAAAAATAAAAAAACCAGAAATACATGGATGGAGAAAATAAAGCATTAGCATGTAGAGAAAAGGACTTATTAGCATTCATGGATAGAGAAAGAGAAAGGGGTCCATGCAGTAGCATGCAGAGCAAAGGGCTTATTAGCATTCAGAAGTTGCATTCTGATGTTTAAAAGAAAAGCCAACATCAAACAAAAAATTATGGGAAGACAAAAATAAAAGTTCATGTCGAAAATGGCATAAAGTTACTCACTTCTCTCTACAACCATCTGTCCCGAGCCCATCAAATGAAAATGCATATCTGCTCAAAAGTTCAAGATAGAGTCTATATGCCTCTGGTTGAGACCCTCGATGAGGAATAACCCTGTAATATAGATGTAAGGCAAAGAGAGGTAAGAAACTTACAGAATCAGCAAATTAAGAGTATCCAGTGTTGCAAAACCTCCTTTCTATAAAGAGAATGCACTCCCCAATTAACCTCTCATAGTTGACCATTCATCTTATTAATATTTAATAAGTAAATAACAAAGTCAATAAATTTGTGGAACAGTCTTGCTCTTGTGACATACTATATTACTTGATAATTAATTATGGAATAATCCAACTCTATTGGTCATGTTTGGTGTAGCTGTTGAAACAGATTATAAATTATAGCGAACCAGATTATAGATTATGACTTTAATCAGAAGCTATTAATCTGTTTGGTGTAGCTGTTGGATTATAGATTTAAGTTGTTGCGTAGTGTTTGTTAAATAAATTGTGAAGTAGCTTTTTCAATTAACTTTTATTTTTTATTATTCACTATTTGTCTACATTTCTCATAAATAATAAAAATAATATTCTAAAGTCCATTTGGGTCTTTTTCTATTTTTAAAAAAATAAAAAATAAAAAAATCTAAGATTATAACCGTGAATTAACATGTCCACAACAGAAGCTGATAATCAGAAGCAAAGGGTGAGCAGCTTCTCAGAATCAACTTTTTTGACTTAAAATAAGTTGTTAGAATCAGAAGCTGTTTGAAATAAATTTAACCAAACAGTCAAAAATAACTTTTTAAAAGTCAGAAGCCATAAGTTGGCTAAAAAAAGCCCTACCAAACACCCCCATTGTTTTTCATTGGCATGAGTTCACATGTACAACCCTACATTGTGTCTCTTGGTCAATTAAATCTGTAGGTGGTAAATTTGAGGTGACAAGCCATAAAAAATGTACACTTGACCATTGACATGATAAGAAAACTTGCTTATGTGTCCATGTTCTTCTCATGAATAGTTACCTGTGGCAATTAATGATTTTCATGACATTTGCTAATTTTTTGATGCACCATTCCTTTTATTTTATTTTTTAAAGTTTTGTCCTCAAAATGAAACCAAGGCACGTCCGCAAAATATACCTAGGGTCCCATGAGCCATTAAAAAGTTGCAAGTTTTGCTAGATATTATGAGGACTCTAGGGTAAAAAGGCTCAATTGGGCTTGCTATTAAGTGAGCATATAAAATAAAAAGGATCCAAGCGGACTCTTCCCCTAGCAACCAAGATGTAATAAAGCATCAAGTAGATCTCATTTGGAAAACAGAAAATGGACTAGATATAATCTTCCTGACTTTTCTAAGTTCCAACATAAAGAAGACATCCCAACCAATAAATAAATTAAAAAAATAAATAAATTTGAATCAAACACAGCTCATAATGAAAGAAAAGCCAATCCAATTTTGAAAAAGTCTACTAGTGAAGGTTAAGGGAAGATTTTAATATATAAAACATGCATTGTAGCTAAAAATAAAGAGGTCAAACCTTGGAAAGTGATGGGAGGAATGTCCTTGATTTTTTTACAGGACATTCACCCAATTGAAAAGAATCTTAATGAATCAAAAGAAAGAGAATGAAGCTGAATAATCAAAGGGAAAGAATCTGTAGAGGAGAATAAGATATAAAGCAATTGGACTAGATATAATCTTCCTGACTTTTCTAAGTTCCAACATAAAGAAGACATCCCAACCAATAAATAAATTAAAAAAATAAATAAATTTGAATCAAACACAGCTCATAATGAAAGAAAAGCCAATCCAATTTTGAAAAAGTCTACTAGTGAAGGTTAAGGGAAGATTTTAATATATAAAACATGCATTGTAGCTAAAAATAAAGAGGTCAAACCTTGGAAAGTGATGGGAGGAATGTCCATGATTTTTTTACAGGACATTCACCCAATTGAAAAGAATCTTAATGAATCAAAAGAAAGAGAATGAAGCTGAATAATCAAAAGGAAAGAATCTGTAGAGGAGAATAAGATATAAAGCAATTGTAGAGAGAGAGAGAGAGAGAGAGAGAGAGAGAGACCTGGAAGTGAGGAGAATAAGCTATAAAGCAATTGTAGAGAGAGGGAGAGAGAGAGGGAGAGAGAGAGACCTGGAAGTGAGGAGGGCGAGGATTTGAAGAGGGGAGAGGAGGGCAGAGGAGAGGGCTTGGTCGAGGAACTTCCAGAGGGAGGGGTTGAGGTGGTTAAGGTTGAGGTTGAGGTTGTTGTTGTTGTTGTTGTTGTTGTTGTTGGAGAGACAGAGTTGAGAGACGAGTAAGTGACCCAACTCTGCACTGGGGAGCCCTAGACCGGCAGAGCCCACGCATTTGGCGACTTCCATTGCCCAAAGCAGCGGAGGTTCCTTCCTCTCCTCGCATCCTTTCACCGTCTCCATCACCCTCTCCTCAAATTCATTCATCTTATTTTTCTTATGATTATTATTATTATTATTATTATTAGGATTACCATTACCATTACCATTACCATTAACCATACCCAACTCCCACTCACCGCCGCCTCTACTACTTCCCATTCCTCTTCGCACGAGCCAGCTACCTCTCCCTCTCTCTCTCTTTCTCTTCCTCGAGCTGTTATTGCTACTGCGCTGCTTTTATATCTCCTCCTCCTGCTGCTACTGCTGCTTGCTGTATCATCATAATTTTAAGTGAAGACGATAAAAATCAAAATCAAAAAAAAAATTATATATATATAATTATATATATATATATATATATATACTCTATGTTAATTTGGAAGCAAAACAAAAACAACAACTGCATTCATTGGTTTTTTTTATTATAAGAAAATAGAAAAATAGATATATGTGGAGGGGAGAGTGGGTGGGTCAGATAAATAAAGCGTGGGCTGGGCGGGTAGGTGTGCCTGTTGCGCGCGCAGGATCAGCTAATTTTATAACTTAGGGAGCTTCTATATACACACACCCTTTTCTCTCTATACAAATCCTTCTTAATACACACACTAAAAAAATAAATTTTAATATATTTAACTCACTACACACACCTATCATTCCACATATACCCCCAAATATAAATCATACACACACACACACCCCCTCTTACACACACACCCGTCTGTCACCCCTCTCACACACCCATCTGAGAACCCCTCTCACACACACACATCTCTCACACTCTCTACCGTTCCTCCCCAAAAGCTTCATCCATCCATCTGTGTCATTGAAGTATTGGCATTGAAGAGCATTGAAATCTTCACATTTTAGGTTAGTTTACACAGATTAGAATCTTCTCATTCCTATTTTATTTGTAATGTAGGGTTAATTTTTACCATTTTCCGTCCACCATTGCAAGTGATTGCCGTGTTTCCTCATTTGGAACTGGTTAGTCGAATTTTTTGTTTTTGTTCAGTAATCTAGTTTTGAAAACAAGAATAATATTCGGCATTAGAGTTCTGAATTTTCTACTTCTATTCGGCACTATAGTTCCGAAAATATTTACTTGTTTCGGCTTTCAAGTGCCGAAAATAATTTTTTTTTTCGGTTTTCAACTTCCGAATAGTAGCTTTAATTTCGGACAACAACTTCCGAATAAAATAGGTATTTTCGGACAACAACTTCCGAATAGAATATGTATTTTCGGACAACAACTTCCGAATAGAATAGGTATTTTCGGACAACAACTTCCGAACACAATTTTTTTTTTTCCCTTCTAACACTTAATTGTAACACTCACTACACACACTCTCATTAATTTTACACACACTCTCTCATTATAATTTAAAACACTTATTATTTACACACACACTCATTACACACACTTAGTATTTTTTGCAGATAATATGGATTCTGAATATCAACAACGTGTCCCACCTACTGCTTCAAATAGACGACGTCGTGAATTGGATGTAGACCATGAACGGGGACAAGGGCGTGGGCAAGGACGAGGTCAAGGACGAGGTCAAGGTCGTGGTCGAGGTCGTGATCCAGTTTCGGTAGAATATGATATTCCCAGTGGCAGTCAAAGTGGGGGCCGAAGCCAAAGACGAGTTGAAGGTTATGATATGCCTGACATTGCTGTGGAGGATACCTCTTTACCTGATTCTCCTCCTGTCCAGGAAGAGTACCTTACTCATGCTTTTCCAGGTGGACCGACTGATCCGTCAATACTGCGGAGTTTCAATAGTCATGTGGCTGCAGCTATTTGGCACGGGGAGGTAAACATTCCTCAGTAAACTGAAATTCATTTGTATATGATTTTTTTTTGTGTGTGTGTGTGTGTATATTGTATGGTAGTTTGTAATGAGATATCATTTGTGTTGTAGGAACGAGGGCCGCTAAAGTGTCATAATCACTCTTCCAAGATCCTTGTATGGCCATGGTGGTTAGTAGAGAACAACACCAGATTCAAAGCCATTATTGAGCAGTCTGGACTATCACAGTTAGCTCGTTGTACTTATCGGTTCGTCAACAAGCTTCTAATCTCCAGTTTTGTTGAGAGATAGCAACCTAAGACGAACACATTTCACATGACAGTTGGTGAGATGACCTTGACCCTGGATAATGTTGGCACTATTCTTGGCCTTCCCATTATAGGCAAATCAGTTAGCATACCAGATGTGACAGATCATCATGGAGTTACATTACTCGTTTATGGCTTGGGGATTACTGAACGTGCAGCACATGAAGAGGTTTCTTCTGTTGGTGGCAATTCAGTCAGGCTTGAATGGTTGCGAAGTCAGTTTGCTGGTGTCACAGATTCAGACCCCGAGGAGGCTATACAGTGCGCTGCAAGAGCTTATTTGTTGTTTCTGTTGGGATGTACACTCTTCAGTGACAAGAGTGGCGGCAGGGTTCCCGTTGTTTACCTCGGCTTGTAAATGGATTTGGGCTCCATACATACTTATGCCTGGGGTGCTGCTGTATTAGCATTTTTATATAGACAGTTGGGGTTTGCTAGCCGGTCTGGGGTTAAGCTGATGGGTGGTTATATGACTCTTTTGGAAGCGTGGATTTATGAGCACTTCCGAGCATTCCGACCTCATCAGAACAGGGGCTACAATGAAGACATGCCACACGTGTACCATTGGGCATCTAGGAGAGAGGTGGGTTCCTCCATTGACCATTTGAAATCTTTTCGAGCCGAGCTTGACAGTTTAGTAGTTACTGATGTAAGTTTACTTATCTTGCGATAATTTTAACAGTTCCATTTATCTTACCCTTTATGTACTTTAATGCAAAAACACTTTACGTTTACAGGTTATTTGGGATCCATACCACAGCTGCAGAGACCGGCATCCATGTAACCCGGTTACGTTCTACCATGGATGCTTAAAGTGCTTAGACGTTGTCGAACCCTATCATCCAAATAGAGTTTTGAGGCAGTTTGGCAAGGTTCAAACCATTCCAGATGCACCGCTAGCTCCCAGTCGTGGTGCGCGAGGCAACATATCTGCATGATATACAGTCATGTACAGATACTTGGATAGGATCTGGGAGGCTTGGGATAACCACGTGTTATCTGAGCAACGGAGGAGCACACCAGTTCGTCATCCTTGGGAATGTGTACCGGGTTATATGGATTGGTATAAGAATATCACGCACCTATATGTCGAGCACACTGATGAACCGCGTGTCCATGACCATCAGGATTTCAGCGAACATACGGATGTAATCTATTATCCTCTCTTATGCATACGTAACTTTTTTTTTTCTAATATGTTCCCAAAAATGTGATATTCTTTTCAAATGCAGCATATTGAACTTGCACTGCAGATTTCACATCCTATTATTGACGCTGGTTATCAGGAGGGGATTCGCCATCCTTATCGACTTTACCAGGCTATCGAGAGTATGACACATGTTCTTGAAGGTCAGCACATTGATGAAGCTGGACCTAGTTCTGCTGGACCTAGTTCTGCTGGAAGTCGCTTTCCATCTTCGACATTGACATACAGTCGTAGGCCTAGGTGTAGGCATACAGCTTATTCGTGACATGTTATTTTGTTACATGTTATTTTGTTAGTTGATGAATATTGTTTGGTGTTTTTTGTAAGATGACATTGTTGTAATGGTAACAGTGGTTAATATTTTCTTATTAGAATGGAATGGCAACAATGGTATTGTAATAACATTGTAATGACATTTTATTATTAGAATGGAATGGTAACAATGGTCAATAACATTCAATCCACATTGCAAAAATAACACATCAACATCAAAAACACATCCATTAATTTCTTCCATAATTCATTGAGCTGATGTTGCTCGCCAAGAAGCACGTCGCGGAGCGGACCTTGCTCGCCATCCTTGGAAGTTCCTTGCCGAGCTGTTGTTGCTCGCCAAGAAGCAAGTCGCGGAGCGGACCTTGCTCGCCGCCCTTGGAAGTTCTTTGCCGAGCTGTTGTTGCTCGCCAAGAAGCAAGTCGCGGAGCGGACCTTGCTCGCTGACCTTGGAAGTTCCTTGACCGAGCTGATGTTACT